AATCAGATGACCCCCTATGAGCAAGCACTTTGGTGACAGTGGGAAGGAAAAACTCCCTTTTAACAGGAAGAAACCTCCAGCAGAACAAAGGTCAGGGAGGGGCGGGGCCATCTGCTGCGACCGGTTGGGAGAAGGAAGACAGGACGTGCATCATAGAAATCTGCAAGCAGTCTACCTAACAAGCCTAATCTTGGGGCAGAGTACAAAAAGCTCAGTTTTATCTGAAGTTACAGGAAGGGAATTATATTTGCCTTTATGTCTGTCTAATACATTCCTGCAGTTTAACTAATTGCTGTGTGTCATCTGGAGGCATGGACACATAAAGCTGGGTATCCTTTGCATAGAATGAAAATGTATGATATGTTTTCTAATAATACATTATTGTTTGTTTTTAAAAGGTTGCTTCATGTAATGATCTGCTAGATTGTAAATCGTACTTTATGCTCGTGGATCATATCATAAGCAATTGTGACCTTTTTTGAGGCAAATTTCTGTCCATATATAAACAATGACCAGCTAACCCCATTAATGTCTGTGGGAGGACGCAGGGTACTCGGGGAGAACCCCACACAGACACGGCTCAGACTGGATTTGAACTCTTGCTTTGCTGACCTATTTCCTCCCATCCTATTTTGAATTGTTTTCATGTAAATCAGGCCTTTATTTCACAGAATGTTAGTCAATGAAATATTGTACTGTTACTCTAGCTTGTGTTTCCTTGGTGTGTTTTCTGAGTGAATGAAAAAGGAATCTACCTACTCGGTGCTTGTATGTGCTGCTTGATGCCAGCACAGGTTGCTGCTCCATTAATGGAAAGGAAACATTTATGTTCCTGAATCTGTGATTTTACACCCTGGAGACATTTTTTCCGAGAGCTTTTTCCTCGACGTGACCAGGGCATAGCAGGGAATGTACTTGTCAGGGAATTCTAGCTGGTATGTTTGGTGGTAGCTGCAAACACCATTTTTATAGACTCCTCTATTAAAGTAACCACAAGCATATCTCTCATAAGTAAGCGGTTCACTGCTG